AAAGGGGCAGTGAGTGGGGGGGGCACCCCCAATGCCCCCAAGCTGGAGGGAACCCAGCTCCCCCCTTCTCCCAGAGCAGGGAAAGAACCCAGGTGTCCAGCTCTCACCCCAGCCCCACTCCCCGCCCAGGCCTGGAAGGAACCCAGTGTCCCTACTGCTCTCACCCGCAGGCTTCAGGCCAGGGGAGAACCCAGACTCCAAGCTCTCCCCCCAGCCCTGCAGGGAACCCAGGTGTCTGGGCTCCAAGCTGCCCTCCCCGTGCCCCCAAGAACCCAGGTGTCCGGCTCACCCTGGTCACTGACGCGGCGCTTGGGGTTGGCAGAGACACTGCGCTGCACCTTGTGGGCAGGGGAGGGGACGCTGCTGTTGGCCACATCGGGGGGCGCCCGCGGCTTCAGCGCCAGTGCGTCTGTGTCCAGCTGCAAGAGGGGGGTCGGGAGTAAGGGGCACCAGGGGACAGGGGGCTGCGTTGGGAGTGAGGGGCACCAGGGGCTGTGGTTGAGAGTGAAGGGCATGGGGGGGGCAGGGGTCGCAGTCAGGAATGAGGGGTCCTGGGGCCGTGGTCAGGAGGGGCACTGGAGGGGGGGAGGGAGCTGTGGTCAAGAGTGCGGGGCACCCACCTCGGAGGTCTTGTAGCCCAGAAGCAGGTAGGTGGCCATCACCTCATTGTACTTCTGCCCGACCAGAGAGTCCTGGATCTCCTCCCGCGTGTAGCCCATGGAAACCATCAGCTCTGTGGGACATGGCGGTGAGGAGAGAACCAGAGGCCTGGGCTCCCAGCCCCCCCTCCCCGAGCAGGGAAAGAATCCAGGCCTCCAGGGTGGGGGAGTACCTGTCCGCCGGGGGTCCTTGTAGTCGGGCATGGGCTCCACGTAGGGCTTGAGCTCGTCGTCCTCGTGTCCCACGTTCATCCAGCGGTCCTTCATGATTTGCTGGGGGGACGGGGAGGGGTGGGGGTCAGCCCAGCACCTGACCCCAGGCTGGCCTGGGGGCCCCCAGCGAGGGACAAGGGTGCTGGCAGCTCCAGATCCCTGGCATGGAGCCCAGGAGTCCGGGCCCAAACTGATCCTGCCTCCCACAGCCGCACCTCACAGGGGTGTCTGGCTGGGGGCGTGGCCAAGATGTGGGGGTGTGGCCAAGATGTGGGGGCGGGACTTAGCTGCACAGTGATCTTGCTGGGGCTGTGTGGGTGGGGCTGGGGGCGGGGCCAGGTTGTGTGAGCAGGGCTCACCTGGAGGGACCGGGCTTCCTGGGGATGGGGGTGGGGCCAGGCCAGGGGGCGGGGTCATCTAAAGGGATTGCACTTGTGGGGCTGTGGGGGCGGGGCTAGGCTTTTGGGGTGGAGCCAGGGGCAGGGCTCCCTTCAAGGGTGCTGCAGACCAAGATCCCTGGGAGGGTGTGGGGGGCTGCATGGGCAGGGCCAGGGCTCACCTCCAGAGTCCCGCGCTTGCTGGGGTTGAGGATGAGGAACTTCTTGAGCAGGTTCTCGCAGTCGGTTGACATATAGAAGGGGATGCGGTACTTGCCCCGTAGCACCCGCTCCCGCAGCTCCTGGGGGTCAGGGTGGTCAGCACTGGAGGCTCCAGGCATCCGGGATCCCAGTTCTAATCCCCGCCTCAGCCCAGAGAACCCAGGCGCCCAGGATCCCAGTATCCACTGCTCTAACCCGCCAGTCCCTCCCTCCCCCTGGAAGCTGTGGAGAACCCCGGTGTCCAGGCTCCCAGCTCTGACTGCCCTGCACTTCCAGAGAACCCAGCGTCCTTGCTTTGAGTTACAACCCCCGCCCCTCGCAGACAAACCAGGCATCCGGGCTCCCCGCTCTGATCCCCTCTCCCGTCCCTGAGACCCCCGGCATCCGGGATCCCAGCTCCTTCCCCCCGAGGAACCCTAGCACCCGGACACCTTGAGGTTCTGGCCGTCGAAGGGCAGGGAGCCCGAGACGAGGGTGTAGAGGATGACGCCGAGGCTCCAGACGTCGACCTCGGGGCCGTCGTACTTCTTGCCCTGGAAGAGCTCGGGTGCAGCGTAGGGGGGACTGCCGCAGAACGTGTCCAGCTTGGAGCCCAGCGTGAACTCGTTGCTGAACCCGAAGTCGGCAATCTTGATGTTCATGTCGGCATCCAGCAGCAGGTTCTCGGCCTGCAGGGGGGGGCACCTGTCAGGGGGTGGGGGCTGCAGGGCAGGGGTGAGGGGCACTAGGGGCTGGGTGGTAGGGGCTGCAGGTCAGGTGTGAGGGGCACCGGGAGAAGGGGGGGCAGGGGGTTGGGTCAGGAGGG